TCTCTCTCTCTCTCTCTCTCTCTCTCTCTCTCTCTCACACACACACACACACACACACACACACACACACACACACACACGCGCTGTACATACCAGCTGCTGACATATGCCCAGTCAGAGGGCTTTGTCCCTCAACCTTGAGGTACAGACAATGGTCCCCTCCTTCTTTTGCATCAGAAACACCAACATTGAGTTACTGCTGGAGCACAAGCAGGTGCTTAAGACCAATTGTGAGCGAGAAGAGGAAAAGGCAGCGGAACTGGAGCTGAGGTCCAGGCTCTTCAGTTTTGGAGAATTCAATTCGGATGCCCAGGTACATTCTCGGTCTGTGGTAACTTTGTCTCCTGGTAATAACCTGGCCTCCCTGTGTGCTGAGCCCCTGGTAGGGGCAGTGAAGGCGATCCACAAACTGTTGACAGGAATGGAAACCCAGCTTGGATTATTTTTTGCCAATATGAGAGAATCAATTTCCTAGCTAGGAACTATTTATGTTGACTTTGGGGTTCATGTGAAATGTTGCTCTCGTTATCTCAAACTGCATTTCTCTGTGCGTGTGTTTGTATGATGTAGTTCACTGCCTTCGACCATTTCGGTGGCAACTCAAGAAGACAGTAACACAGTGAACACACACCGTGAACCCACACACGCAACACTGAATAGAAAATCTGCCCAGCACTGGGCCTAGGACATGTGTCAACTTCTTTGGGCCTAAATGGATTGGCTCATTTCTCAACACCTGTGGCACATCCTAACCCCCTTGTCTCCTGACAAGCTCATCTCTCCCAGCCGGATGCAAACCCCTGCACACAGGGACTATCCTGTTGATGAGCTCAGTGTCCCCATGGTGTCAATTCTCAATAAATGTTTGTTGAATGAATGATCAGGTTAGCTTTCAGATCCACAAGAAACTCCGACGACCACTGGTTTCTTGGGAAGACCTCAAGGGAAATAAGAATCCAAAGCTGCAACGTGGGGCTAATGTTACATTTACGATGGCGAACTTTGACCTTTTTAGACAGAGGTAGATTTGGGGAATGGGCTGCATTAGAAAGCAGGCAATCATCCTCCCCTGCCTACAGTTACTCAAGGCAAGGTTCTGGCTGCTAGGCTCCTGCATGTCCTAAGGTATGACAATATGATGTCTCAGCAGCTGTTGCAGGGACTGTGTTGATTGTAACAGTTCAGTTGCTTTTCTTTTTAATGAACCATTTTTTTTTTAACTGTGGTACCATATACAGAAAATTTACCACCTAACCGTTCCGAGTGGGCAATTCAATGGCATATTAAGTACGTTCATGTAGCGTAACTGTTACCATGCCTATTTCCCGAACTTCTCCATCACTTAGGCATAAGCTTTAATATCTTAACCATTTTTGGATGTTCGGTTTGGTGTCAAATACATTCACACTATTCTGCAACCCATCTTAAGAATGCCTTTGATCTTGTTCAAGCTGCTTGCCCATTAAACACACGGCCCCAACCCTTCACCGCCCACGTCTGCTTTTTGTCTCTTGGAATGTGGCTCTTTTGTATCTCGTGTAAGAGGATATGTACAATGCGTGTCCTCTCTCTGGAGCTAGTGTGACAGAGTACAATGTTCTCCAGATTCATCCACATCGTGGCAGGTGTCAGAATTTTGCCCTTTTTAAGGCTGAAAAATATTCCATCTTATGAACCACATACTTTATCTACTCATTCATCTACTGATGGACGCTTGGGTTGTTCCTGTCCTTCAACTCAATTCTGAAACCGACTACCCTGTAAGATAAAAGATAAATTATTTGTGATATTATTGGCATCCACACCTCAACCAAACCCCTCCAATTTCAGAGCAGGGGACGATGGGAAAAAGGCCACGGGGCTCCATCTCCATAGCTGCCGTTCATCTCCTTCTCTTAGTTCTTAAACTGTTTGTTTAAAGAAAGTATACCATCTTGTATTTCCCTCTGCTGTTTGACGGGGGAGCTTAAAAAAAAAAAAACCACCATAAGAAGTCACCTTCTGTCCCTCCCCATCGCTCTCTGTTCAAGGAGCCTTCAGAAACTTCCATTGAAACACTTTCCTATCAGTTTTTCTAAAAACCAGAATTAAATACTTTAAATTCCCATGTGCATTAGAGTAAGATTTTTTTTTTCTCTTCAAGAGAGGACCCCACTGGTTGACCCAAACTCATGGCAATTATCGGCCTCAGCTAGGTGGTAGGATTACAGTTATGAACCCCACACACACACTTGGTGGTGTCCTTCCACATTTTTCCCCTTTCTTCCACATTTTTCTGCCCTTTTGCTGTCTCCAAGGTTTCTAAAAAGAATGTATGGGTCTATAAATAGGAAACAAAGTAAGTGCTGTGTTGTGACGGGGACAGATGGATAGGACTTCAAGGTAAATAGGATTCATGCTTTTCTTTTGTATTGCTTTCTATTTCCCTAAGTTTTCTTAACAACAAAAAAGACGGTTCTTCTAATATAAATGGAAATACAGTAAGTATTTAGAAAGTAAGACACTAGGAGTTCTGCAGTGAACAGGATCTTCAGAACATTTATTAAAGCAGGAGGCAGAGCGACAAGCTGTTGGAAGCCTGAGGCCTTTAAGCAATGGCCAATGGCGGCTCTCTGAGGCACTTGTGGTTCCAGGAGGTGTCTCCCCAGCGGGGCGAGTCCCATTGGCCTCGGGTGGGGTTTCCTTGACTGTGTGGACTGTGTGGCGACTCTCTTCTTCCTGAGCAGAAGCGTGCAATCCTGGGGCAGGAACGTACATGGAAAACGATTTACTTTGCCGAGAAGTTTATTGAGTCCCTCTTGGCGAATATCAGCCAGCCAGTGGAGATAAAGAATGCTATCTTTCCTCTCCCGAGTTACGTTATCTACCAGCTCAAGAGACTGCAACTTCAAGTAAAAGAGCGCAGTGGTGAGGTACAGGGATTGGCGGGCTTCGGCCTAAATTCTTTAGAGTAGACTACAGCGATGGTGTTCCCGTGGAGAGTTCTAAAATCCAATTCCTAAAAGGTTCTGTTTGGAGCCTAGGAATCTGTTTGCTTGAACACGCGTTTCTCTGAAAGAATGCATTCATTTATTCAGCAAACATTTATTAAGTTTGTAGCTATGTACAAGACACTGATTTAGGGGTACATGGTAGCCAAAGCAGTAGCCCCTGCCCTCCAATTCCCCCTCAAGAAGGGGACTGAGCACATATGCAAATAACTATCACACAGCAGTACGGACTTCTAGTGAGTATAGTAAAAACGGGGGAGGAACACGCACTATACCGCTGGTAGCACAAGCGGTTTTAGATGTGTTTTGACTGCTCTCAGAACATTTAGGGAATGTTTTATACACACGCTTGTAAATATTGTGTATACTTTAATATAATCCCAGGTATCACTGTAATGACTATAAACTACAATATAAATATCCCCTGCTAAATGTTCTCACTGACCTGTCTTTTAAAGAAGCATGTAGGGAGTCGGGGGTGTAGCTCAATGATAGAACGTTTGTCTACCATGCCTTAGGCCCTGGGTTCTCTCCCCAGGACTAAATGCCATTTAAAGAACTTTTCATTGCTGACACTGTAGAGTGGAATTTTGCATTTACTGATTAGTGAGTGAATAGTGACAGTGTTTTCCGCTCTTTCTTCCTGAGCTCAGGAAAGGCTGATAGACTCACTTAGTAAGAAGATTAATCAAGTCTACAGAGTCTGCATCGGAGATGCTGAGGTTGGCAGCCTGAATGCGGTTCAAAAGCTGGTCAAAGTCGAGTCTCGCCTGGTGGAGCTGAGTGACCTCATTGAATCTATTCCCAAAGAAAATGTAGAAGCCATTGAAAGGATCAAACAGAAGGAGAGACGGCAAAAGTACGGTGACATTTTTCTTAGTATAGACAATGGTTTAGGCAGCTGCTTTTGTGTAACCCCCCACCCCCGTCAGCAACCTCTATATGGTATGGCAAACATTGCAACTAGGATGCAGGGTCAACTCACATCCACCTCCCCAGAGAATATTCTTGAGAAACGAGTGTTATTGTTACTACAGGCAATGAGCACTCTGAACCAAAGGAGCTGAAAAAATAGTTTATCAGGGACAACTGCCCCAACTAGGGTGGCTGTGGGGAGGGTCTCCGGTCATATGAACACTGCTCAAGGGCTATCATGTGCAGGATCGTCACTGTGGGGCAGATTCTACCGTTAGCAGACCACAGGGTGAGTGAAGTTCAGCGCTATTCGGTGAGGGGTTCCCCCTGGGACGCTTGGCTGGCACACACACCCTTGCTCACTTCCTCCCACGACAGACTGTCGTCATCCCCAAAACCTCACCCTTACAAGTTAAAGACTTTTGTAGTTATTTTGCTTGGAGCTGTGACAGCATAATGTCGTTGCTATCACATGGCCCGTGGGGAATGCTGACGAAGTGGTCACAGCGTTCATGTTCTAGCGAAGGGGCGCACACGGAGAGGCAGGTGAGCACTGTGGCTCCAGTGTGGCAGATGTGGGCATGGAGCCTGTCTTTTAGCTACAACTACTGTGATGTAAGCAGGGAACATCGGTCTAGTCTATTTCATTAAGGCTTCTTTCTAGGTAGCTGTGATATTTACTTCATAGAGCTGATGTATCAAATCAACGTAAAAGCACTGAGCATGTGTGACACACACTAGCCATCAATACTGTTATTACTGGTGCACAGGGATATCATCTGCTCATGTAAAAATGAAGGTGACGCAGATGGCTTTCACAGAATATGAAGCAAACTTAATCTAAGCGGAGGATGACTCCTAACAGATGCTCTCACATTTTTATAGCAGCAGTCTTGAGAGTAAATTACAACTTATTTTTAACAGTAACATGCACACAGTCCTAGTTGTCAAAAGAACTTTTTCTAGGCTGGAGAGATGGCTCAGAGGTTAAGAGTATTGCCTGCTCTTCCAAAGGTCCTGAGTTCAATTCCCAGCAACCACATGGTGGCTCACAGCCATCTGTAATGGGGTCTGGTGCCCTCTTCTGGCCTGCAGGCATACACACAGACAGAATATTGTATACATAATAAATAAATAAATATTTTTTTTAAAAAAAGAACTTTTTCTCCATGTAGTTCTCAGCCTTCCTAACACTACGACCCTTTAGTACAGTTCATATTATTTAGTTCCTACTTAAAACTGTAATTTTGCTGTTATCGACAGTAATGTAAATATGATATGCAGGTATTCGGTATGTGACCCTTGTGGAAGGGTGGTCTGACCCCCAGGTTGAGAAACTTTACAGGCAGGTGAGTGAGGTAGCCGGGAGCTGAGTAGCTGTGGGATACAGGACTTCAGTGGGGTGGAGAGAGGAAGGCATGGCCTTGCTTCTGACCAAACTGGGAAGAGGGACTTTTCCAAATGCTGAAATTAAATGCCTTACCATTGCCAAATATTCAAAAGCCATCGCTATGGGAACCTTACACGTGGATAGTTCATTATCAAGCAAAACAAAAATGTAGATGTTTTGCTTTTTATAAATTAGAGAATTTCTAATAAGAATGTACCTCCTTGCTATGACAGGCTGCGTGAAGAGAAGATGAGAGAAAAGCAAAGACACCAGGAGGAGCGGCTAAGAGCTGCTCTGGAGAGAGCAGTAGCACAGCCCAAGAAGAAGGTTTGTGTTCTGCCAGCATGGTCCCTGGCCTAGTCCCACATGAGAACTCCCACCCTTCCAAGGCACACTGGGGATTCCGATCATGATCAACACAACATGGCAGCTCCCTCACCCAAACACCTAAGTTACACACATCCAGAGAAGGGAGAGGTATGAACCACAGGTTTCCTTAAGCGCTCCTAATGCAAACACTTCCAAGACCCAACAAGAACACTGATTAAAATGGTTTTCTCAAAACTGGCTCAACAAAGCAGCCTCTCGCAGCCATGAAGGAAACCAGGTAGAGCACTGGGGTAGGCAACATTACAGCCAACACGGCGCTCTTAGCCAGTCGTATCTGAGCTACCTGCTCCTTAACTTTCTGCACATCACTCCACTGTCTTCGGTATTCTACGGGTGCCCCATTTGCCAAGCATGCTGGACATCTAGTAGGTTCTCTCAATCTCCTATAACTTCTCTTACTATCTTAAGCCATTTTATTCATGTAAAAAGTTCAAGTTAATATTCACATTCTACATACTGCAACAGAAAAGTTATGCCAAAGAAAATTATTTTGTTTTTCCTGTTTCAGCTGGGAAGACGACTGGTCTACCGTTCGAAACCTCGATCTGCTACCAAACAGTTACTTTTAGTCAGCGATACAAGAACAAAAACACAGGAGGAAGAGTATTTTTTTAGTTGAACAGGAGCATGAAGACAATTAATTAGCAAATGTTTTATACGATGTTGGCGTTCAGTGATGCAATGCTGAAGTTTACAGGAGTGGGCACGGCAACTGTGTTCTTCTGCCAAACCACTACTCACTGCCATCATCCACGAGCTAAGAAATACTGCGTTTTAGGTTGTCCCCTTTGGAGACACATCCTAAAGGCCTTAACTGATAGAACTACAGGAAGCATGATTTATAGCAGACTGGCCTCCCTCAAAGCATGAGCATGAGAATTTTAGTTGTATTTTCTAAAGCAATAAGGAAGTTCATAGCTACGAATGTACATTTTAACAATGTGCTATTCTGAAAACAACTGGACAGGTTTAAAACGTCCAAACTACAGACTATGGTCTCAGATCATGAGACTGGTCATTTCACAGTAAGCTCTGAAAAACCTTATTGGAAAACTTTATTAAGTGAACAAACCACACACCTTTAGCTTAAATGTCAGTTTGTATTATGCTCTATCTCCATAATTATTTCAATTTTCATGTTTTGACTTAGCTACAATATGTACATTAGTCTATATTGATTATAAATTTATTAATACAATAAATATAAATACTAAGGAAATGTTTAACTTTAAGCATGTTAAAGTGGTTTGAAAACCTTAAACGACATAGCTGCTAAGTCTCAGTTAATACAGTTACCATGGCTGAAACTCACCTTCAGAAAAGTTCTAAAACACAAACTTATTTATCCTTTATAGAAAACAATGCAATCAGCGGGCTTATCAAAAGTCACCCTGAATAAAACTGGGGCTCTTAAAGCGTTAGTTCTGATTATCCACTGCTTCAACACCTGCGCTTTGCATACGGATATCTGCATAAAAATAGTACACACGTCAAGTTGAAAAAACCCAAATCTTTATTGTATAGAAATACATATATATATAAAAAAAAACCCTCAAAGATGCTATTCTCTCATTTCCCCATCTTCCTCCTCCTCTTCAACGCCTCGGATATAAAGGACATTATTACACCTGTAAACAACAAAACAAAGGTCCTTTTTTGATGATCCACTCAAACCACGCACAATCATCAGTGCTCCGTTTTCAGATTGGATACTAAAGAGCTCGTCACCCTCTGCTGGTGCCACACAGACATGTTTAAGAGCACACGGCACATGGCTACCACTGTCATCACAATCACACCTACAACTTATCAGAATAGAGGTGGATGCTCATATTAGAAAATGAATACAACAGAAATCCTCAGCAGCTAGACTCAACTTCAAATCCAAGTTCTGTAACCCAGGACACAAACAGGCTACAGCTAAGGACTGGGAAATGTAATCAACAGTAGGAAAACCTTGAGGATGAACTGAAATCTCCCAACAAATTTAGTAATTTCAAAGGCTTCCAAAATCTAGATGCAGAATACTGCTAAATCTTTTGGCTTTTTTTCTTTTAAAGTAATCCCCAAACTATAAGACTAATTATTTAAGCAGATTGTTTGAGCCTCACCAGTAACTCCTCACACACAAACACACTCATTACCTTATTAGAACTTCACCCAGATGTCCAGACAACGCACCATCAATGTATTCTTCTGTATTTGCAAGCTTTAGATAGAAAGAAAGATATTAGTATAACTGCACAAGAAGAGAACAGTGTAGCATACCTGCCGGTGAGAGCACAGTAAATGAGACGAGACTACACCAACTCGGACTGCATCGTAATTAGTAAGTAGAAAATTAGCTCTCTATTACTCTTGTATCTCTGGATCTCCTGTATTAAGACATGCATGGTACAAAACTATAATAAAGCTTGTTTCAAAGCTGTTATGCCTTCTAGATGTTATTTCTGATTATAAAAGTGGATCAAAGAAAGCTTCCAATTTATGAGTTGTAACTTTTCAAGTTTCTAAAAATCCAAAGAATCAGACATTAACTTTTTCTCAGAGCAAAATATTATGGATCATATTAAGATGGGTGTACAAAACCTATGTATGACTAAAATATATTAACCAACAACCAAACCAAAGAAATAAGATTTTGAAAAATTCATATACTCATTGGAGAGGAAAAAAAAAATCTAAGAATCATCTGTTAAATTACTTCAGCAAACTATTACAATTTTAAATTTAAAATGTTTAGCTGGCATTCTCATATTAAAAAAAAACACCAATGACATATGGGACCACCAAGGGCAGAATAAGAGGACTCTTCCTTCACAAGCAGGTGGTGGACATGAAAAATAGGAAGATGTGGTGTAAGGCATTTAAAACCCGCTAGTTGTTTCTTCTCTGGAGGAAAAACACCTAGAGAACTTACCACCAAAAACACGTTTGTGAGTATTCATTTTGTATAATTGCTATCAGATGTAATACATTAAGAGCCACTGATTTTACATGTCCCAACACTTAACTGGCTTCTAAATTACAACAATGTCCCAAAGCTTCCCATCGTGCATTAAATCCAAAAGCCTCACCACTGCTGACAAGGCTCTCACTGCCCCCACTCTGCTGTGTGCACCTTAACACACCGAGCATGCCTGTGGACGGGGGCTTTGCATCTGCTGCCCTTTCCAACTGAGGCCATTTCTCCGGGATGCTCATGGCTTCTTCAGAGCGGCTAGACTGCTGTGTTTATTACTGCATCGTCGTGCTGTGCATCGTACCTGGTTACCTGTGTTACATTGTCATCTCCCACCACTGAATCAAGCCCAAGCATAAGGACTCTGTTTTGTTCATTGTTATCACAGTACCAATCAGACTAAGTTTTGGCTAACTGAGGCAACTCAGAAACTGGGCTCAGATACATTTTGTAACCTGAGGAAGCTACATTTAGGAAATGTAGCCAAATATTAGGTGGTCTCATGTATTCTGAGCTGGTCTTTAACTCTCCATGTAGTTGAGGATGATGTTTAACTTCTGGTCCTCCCACCTCTTATCACCCAATGATGGAATTACAGGCTTTCATCACCACACCTAGTTATGAGGTGCTGGGGGTGGGGGACAAAACTTACTTTTAAATCATCCACTCTGGTTTTTCAGCATATTCATAAAACTGAACTTTCACCACTCATTCCACAGTATTTTTCACTATGATTTTTCTATAGCCTTTGTGAATTACTCATTTCAAGAATTTTCCAGAACAAAAACTTCCATATTCTTGTTAGCTGGATTTCTGGTTAAGTTATCCACGTAACTAACCTTTAAGACCTGGGCAGAAACTACAACCAAACCACAAACAAAAAATAAAAATAAAAAAACTAGACAAAGATACCAGGCACAGCAGCACATGCCTTTAATCTCTACACTCGGCAGAGATCACTGAGTTCAAGACCAGCCCAGTCTACATGGCGAGCTCCAGGCCAGCCACGGACACACAATGAATCACTTACAGAAACCAAGGCACAGTCAGTTTTCAGTTCTTCTGTTTCATACTTCTGTTCTATGACAAAATGCTGTGAGTCGCTTTCATGCTGTGTTTTTAGAACTCATTAAAACAATTTAAAAATTTCTTTTACAAATTCTTTGAAAAAGGAAGTGCTGGGAGGTTTTGGTTTCTGTAGTAAAATGGTATCAGAAACCAGACGGCAAAGCTCTTCTTTCTTTGGCTGCCATAGTAAAGTTGATGGGGGTTTGATCCTGGGTCTTAGTACTAAGTACATCAGTTCAACATCCTCCCTGTAGGGTAATTTAATCCTGGATTCTGCTTTCAGTTTGTCGGTTTCATTGAGTATCAGTCACAGTAAACCTTTGAGGAGACGGTGAAATACAAACAGTTTTACAGTTCTCGGCACTAACTCCTGGGCTTACCTGCATGTTCATGTAGCCATCGACAGAGACCAGGTAGCCCTTATATTCCATCCCCCACTTGAGTTTCACCATCACTGGTTTTCCTGTCAGTCCATTGAGAAAAGGCTTGGGATTGAGGGGTAAACTCTGCAAGAAAACAAAAGCACCATTTGATCATTTTTTGCTTAGCGGCAGCTTCCACCACCCCACTCTCTACTAAACCATCAAGCAAGACTTCAGGGCATCTACTTAGGGCCAACTTTTGATTCACCGGCATGTTACAATTTGCTGGAGAGTGTCAGATACATTTAAATACCCATTTAGTCAACTTCACGTTTAACTCATTGACAAAGCAATCAAATAATGAATACCAGGTGGGGGTGCAGCATGCACAATGGCAAAGCACTGGTCTGGCATGCAAGAGGCCACTGGTTCTATTCCAAGCACCACCGAGACAACAAAAACCCCCAAATACCTACTCACTACCCACTACCCAAGCTCTAAAGAAATAAAGGCACTTGTCTGAAGTGATCGCTGCAGACATAAGAAGCAAGAGCACCCAACTCAAAGCGACAGAAAGACGCAAAAGGCAGATCACGTTCACTTTTCCTGTGGGAGGCAGGACCGGGTCTCCAGTTCTTATCATGACCAGTGCCTCTCAATGCAACCGTATCAAGCTTATTCTGCAAAAATCAGTAATTCCCTTTAAATTCAGGACCAACAATCCCAAATCTACTCATCCATCATCCCAAAGAAATTGAGAAGTTTGGTTACTAAACTCTAAGATGAGGGGATCTTGGAGGGCAGGATCTAAATCAGTAGTCAATTTCCACTGCCTATAATTTATCATCCACAAAGCAACTACTATTTTTAAGGCATCTATCAAGTCATGTAATATCTTGGCTTAAAAACGCTCCATTGCTCTCCAACTTGTTGTGCTTGAAGTAGACAAACTGCCTAACAGGCCTTGAGAGACCTGGGAATCGAACTCAGGTCTTCTGCCAGGGCGAGAAGCCAACACTCACAGCACATGTCAGCCTGAGCGGGTCCTTAATTCAAGACCACTATTGCAAGCACCCGTTGGCTCCCGTGGGTTTCAACTGGTCAACTTACTTTCTGGTTAGGGCTCACACGTGACACACTCTTCCACCTGCTCTTCCTGTCACTTAGATTTCCGGTGAAATGCCACCTTTTGGAGAGGGGTGCTCCTCCACGGCGCTCTAAATTCCCAAGGCGCCTTCCCAGAGCATTCTGTCAGCTTCCTGCTTAGCCATCGCCACTGCGCGCCAACTGTTTACTTCTGGGACGGGCTGTCGCCTCCCTCCCTCCCACACCTGAGAAACTGCAGGGTCTGCATGAGTCCCTGGCGCCCTAAGAACAGCATCAGATGAATGAAGGGCCTTCGGTTTCAGGGAACAATGAGCTAGGGGTGTCAACCTCACGGAATGATGAAGGCGCACTGCGGCTTGTGCTCGCAGAGAGCGAAAACCCGCTTCAGTTTACCCCTTCCCTGTGGCTGGCTCCAAACAACACGGGAAAAGGGGACAGGAAGGGGTCCGAGGCGCGCGCTGCGTGGCTTCCCTCCGCCTGGCGGGGAGAATGAGCGAGCGAGCGAGCGCCCGCGCGGCGCCTCATGGGGATGAATGGACAGCGCTGCCCGCAACAGGCCCCGCCAGGCCGGCCCGTCCCCCTCGCCCTGCCCGCAGGGCTCGTCCTCCTTACCATCGCGAACACCCGCGAGCGCTACACCCCGCTCGCCGCCGATCCCGCCGCTGCAAGCCCCTCGTGCGTGACCGGAGCAGCCGCCGCCGACCCGGACCGCGCAGCGCTGGGAGAAATGGCCGCCAAAAGAGGAAGCGTCACCTTTCACCTCCCGCCGCGTTCTCTCGGCTTCGGTGATTGGATCTAAAGAACGCGCTTGCTGATTGGAGGAGACGGCGTTGTCTCCTGGCAACCAGAGGAAGGCGCGCGTTTGTATCTAAGCGCTAGGCAACGTCTCTAGTGGGGCGACTGAACTGCCCCAGGTTTTTCCGCTTCGCTGCAAGGATTTTCTCTGCTTATCCCTGGAGAGCGGACGGGTTTTTTGTTTGTTTGATTTTGTTGTGTTTTGTTTTGCTATTGCTGGTTTATTACTCTGTCTTTCAGCTAAGAGTTCGGGTTCTGGAGGTCCCTGCTCACCCTTCCACAGATGCAGCACTTGGGGAGCACCCCTGATGTGTGACCCCCTTTGACGCGAGGGGACCCTATTCTAGAATACCCACTTGCCGGTTTTTAATAGAAGCTGGGGAAGACGAGACTATGTGAGCGCAAGAGAAAGGCACCGAAGATATTGGTTAAGGTGGATGGTGTTGGCGCACACCTTTAATCCCAGCACTCGGGAGGTAGAGGCAGGCAAATCTCTGTGAGTTTGAAGCCAGACTGGTCGACAGAGTGCTAGGACAGCCAGGGCTACACAGAGAAACCCTGTCTCCAAAGAACTTAACACAAAACTAAAGATTAAAAAGTCATTTCATTTATCATGGTCTCATTTTCTTCACTTACGCAGTGAAAGATTTAGATTAGATCTGGTTTTCAGTCTCCTTGCTATTACTGTATCTATCTATTTATTTATTGTGTGTGTGTGTGTTATGGGTGTAGAGACATATGTGGGTCCAGTACACACACACATGGAGACAAGAAGAGGTCACTTGGGAATCCTCTTTCAATCCCTCCACCATTCCCTTGAGACCAAGTCTCTCGTTGAGCCTGGAGCTAGGAGAGGCTAGCAAGCTCCAGTGGGTCTCCAGTCTCTTCAGTCCTGTAACCATTCATGGCCATATCAGACTTTTTAAAAAATTTATTATGTATACAGTGTTCTGCATGCATGCCAGAAGAGGGTACCAAATCTCATTACAGATGGTTGTGAATCACCATGTGACTTGAACTCAGGACCTTTGAAAGAGCAGCCAGTGCTCTTAACTACTGAGCCATCTCGCCAGCCCCCGTCCCCGGCTTTTCACATGGCTGCTGGAGTTTTGTGGTGAGCGGTCCCAGCCCCTC